GTGCAATCGGAATAACAGGCCGTCAAGGCCCTCGCTCGCAGCCACACCCATCTGGCCAGACTACACACTGCGCCGCCGGGGCCAGCCAACATGGATGAGCCTGGGTGGCCAAACATCATCAGGGCCACCGCGGGAGCTGCACGAGCAAAGTATAATCGCGATATGACGAGCCTGGCAATGTGCCAGCGCAGGCCAGCCGCTCCCTGCGAAAGCGAATCCACGACCCCTGAGCCTTCTCTCATGACACCGGGTTGGCCCCTTGATTCCATGATCCTGCACTCCGTGGCGCGTCGTAAGGCGCATAATTACCACCTGAGTCAAGGGACCAGGTCCATCCAAATCAACTTGGGATCATTTCTGCTCTTTCAGTATGTCAGGACACCACAATCGGGCGTTTCAGCGACCCGAGAATAGCAGTCATAGATGGTCGCATGGAAGAGTCCCCGGCAACATCACCCGTAGCGAGGTGAGCGCGAGCTGCGCCTCCCCCACAAACACTCCGGCAGTCGTCACTGTAACGCTATGTTCGAAGTGGACCCTTCTCTGCGCCAGTCCCGATAATGTGGTCGCGTTTGCCCTCGCGCATACAATTGGCAAGCAGTTCATCGTTCCCCCGCGACGGGCCAGGCGCAACAGGCGATAATTGCCCTCGGGCTTATCTGACTCCGGCGACCAGGGACACATCGGACGCCCTGCCTGCCGAAAAGCGAGCAAGGAGTAACCCACTCAGTCTGGTCACATCCGGCTCATCGACGCTGTCCTTAATTGGAGAGATGCATCCGAGAAGGGAGCGAACGAGTCAACAAACTTAGAACAAATGCCGGCCGCCGACCAGGGTGCAGGGTTGCATGTCACCGGGAGCACCGACGCACTGCGGGAATGGCGACGCGGCACTCGCAAGACTCGATAGAAAACCGTAGTGCTTGGGGCACAGGGCCACGATTCACTGCGTGTATACCGGCAGAAGATGGTTGGCAACTGAGAACCACAGCGACAAACTCGTGTCGCACAGAAAAAGGGCGCAACCAGGCAGCACATTCTCCAGCCAGGATCTGTTTCCACCCCCCTGCGCCGCCCAGGCTGCAGACCCATAAAGACAAGAGTGCTGCAGGTGCGATTGGAGTTGCAGGATCTGGGAGCTGCCGGTGACAATCAATTGTGACTTTGGCCTTTTGCGTACGATCCAGCCGCCACATGCACCATAGAGGGCGTCGAGCTCATCAATCAAGTCGAGGTCAAAGCTGAGCGGACTTCCACGCCGGGCTGTGCCAAGGAACCTTGACGCTTCCCAGCCTGGAGGGAAAGGCACGTTCACAATCCAGCCACTGTACCTTGGACCCTGGAAGTGGAGCGCGCGATCGCGCCCGCGCGCAATGCCCAGCGCTACAAGCCGCAAGCTGCGGCGCTGAGTTCCTGACCGGACGAAGTCATGCTTTGGCAGCGTTGGAAAGGGAATGAAGCAAAAGGGCACAGGGGGTGAACGGCCCGAGACTACACTGCACCTACCTGCCCCCCTACAGCAAAGGGGTTTGGGCAACGTTGCGACAGTGGGCCAGAAGGGTCTTCCGTCTAATAAGCCACGGCAGAGTCCACTGATGCAACAGGAGGGGAGATGCCGGCTGATTGATTATCCATCCTGCTTCTTGTCTCTGCAGATGCTGCGCAACTGGAGCTGTGCCCAGCGGGAGGTTGGCGATACAAGCAGTGAGTTGGGGCCAACTCGCATCCCAAAATCCACAAGCGGGGTTGGTTACTGCTAACGTCACGAAGGAGCGTCGATTGGATCAAAGACGGTGCCAGCAGAGACAGACACACGGGAGTCTCCTTGGCCGGGGCCGTCATCTTGGAACGCGTTTGACGTTGCCCTGCAAGCTGCAAGCCAAGACGGCTTGGAATTCGGCCCTTTCGCCCTTCGCAACCCTCTGGAGCCTTCATAACCGGACACTATTATCCCCGTTGGCTCTTCAACCCGGTTCATTCGTATACCTTCAAGCCCTTACGAAGTACTTACTGTGCCGCTGGTCTGGTCCACGACGGGATCGAGTGGGTATATACAAGCCGGCCGACAACAACAGCAAATCCACGCAGCTGTGAGAAGCTGGGATAGCGAATGAAACAGCGCCCGGCAGGCCCTGTGAACCCTTGGTCCCATGTATGCCAATAAGTGGTTTTGGGTGTGTCGGCTGAGGTGGGGTGTCTGTTTTCGCCCAGGCCCAGGGTCTTTTGGCGCCCTCAGGTGTCTCAGATCTGTCGCACGCAGCATGCGGCTCCACGGGGGAAGCACCAGCCAGACAAGACTGGTCAAGCCGACCGCGCCTCCATTCGGCTGCTGGCCATGGTTACAACTCCGGATACGTCACGACGCGGGAATCGGAAGGGCCGGCGCCACGGTTTGCGAGCACCATCATCCTCTCACGAGCCTTCCGCTGGCGCTGGCCCTTGCTTGTCAGCAGAGAGCGGAGTGTGATCAGGAACAAAGTGCATTTACTTCGTAGTAGTAAGTCTGCTGCGCGAGGACAGGCCGAGATTCTCGCTTCCCTGCAGCTGAGCCACGTCGGCGCAGCATGGCGCCATGAAATTGTCCGTCCGCAATCTTCCCCACAGGCGGGCTCGGTGACCTCTGTCGAGGGCGGGTTCGGGAAGCACGAGCTCATGGCCGCACGTCTGAGTCTGCAGCGCTTGGCTGACTGGCGCGCGCTCTCGAAGAGTGGAAATGAAATGGCTCTGGGAGGGAGAGGGAGGGGGAGTCACCGGACATCCCACACTGCGCGCGTGGCCGACGTCTCGAAGGCCCTCAACGGTGATCGATGGACACCAATTCGAGGCTGGCGTTCTGGATCGAGCCCGTTGCTCACCCACACAGTCAATATGGTACTCCGCCATCTCGGGGACGGCCGCTGCTCGTCATTGCATTGAACGGACGAATTCATGCGGTGCGATGACCACGAACCTCGGGAAGATCTGATTCCCATTCTCCGCGCGGTTCATGCCTCGATTAGGCGTTTGTGTATGCTATGCCCCCGGTGTCCCGACATCCCGAGCGTGCGCATCTCTGCTGAGGTGACACGATGCGCGCTTGGCCTCGCAACCACCAGCGTTTCGGACGCTCCACACAGCCCACTACCAGACATGAGCACATTTTCTCGGCCGTTTGTTATGCGCTCGAGCACAATCTGGACAGAAACTTTCAGCAGCCATCAGAAAGTATGTTTGATTCTCGGACATGCCGCTCCGGGACGTCATCTGTAAATCGAACGACGAGCTCCGCTGCCTACCAGGTATCCTGCCAGGTACCGTGGTGGCCCCGACTGCGGTACCGTCAACAAGTCGTACAGGGCGATCCCTTGCCTGCGAAGGCTGATGGAACGAGCTAGAACAGGAGGATGACCCCATACTGGGCACCCGCGCGGCAGTGGGAATCTCGGCAGTCGCCCTTGGCGCCGATTTAACCTTAAGTTGGCCTAAACGGCGGCAGGCTCACGTTGCTCGAACGCGACACGATTCCCATGCGCTTTGGCTCGGCACAAGAGGGCCTCCTAGTCCTTGTTGATCCGCTTCCACACCTCGTTCTCCGCGGCGGCCAGGCTCTCTCCGGCTGCGGCTGCCCATTTCTTGGCCGCGTCCCACATTCCGGCTTGGTCGTCCTGTCCGAACGAAGACATCAGCCCTGCGTCGCGGGACGTGGCGGCATCGTGAGCTGCCCTTTGGCTGCTGCTGAACTCGGAGGCGTGAACGTCCTGCTGGTAGCCAGGAGGGTGCGAGTAGCTCGCCGACGCATCGGCCTCGCGGAGAGACGTCGGATACGGACCGCCCATTTGCGCGCCTGGCACTGCTGCCGCCGTCGAGGTTCGGCCCTGGATCGGCAGTGAGGCTACAGGCGGCTGATAGGACATCTGCGGCGGCAGAGGTGCGGAAGCCGCCGCGTGGGGGGACGGCAGCGATTCTCCTGCCCTCGGCGGCGGGGGAATAGGCTTCGGCCCGCCAGGTGGGAGAGGAACGGCACCCGGCTGGGGCAAGGGTGGGCTCGGCGGTTGGCCCGCTGGCAGTGTGGGCGTGGGCTGAGTCTTGGATGAGGGCTGTGGGAGGCCTGTCTGGACTGGCAGAGATGGGACCGCCCCCGGCTGAGCTGGAGGATACGACTGCTGCCCACCGGGTGTCTGACGGGCCTCTGGACCCGGCGTCTGCTGAATTGGGTCGTTGTCCGCCGGTGGCTTCGTGTGGGGGGTGACTCCTGATGCCTTGGAGGCATTGATAGGACTGGAGCTATAAACTGGGATGGGAGGCATGTTGTGCGACTGTGTGGTGGTGTGACGATGCCGCTGCTTCCTCTCACAACACAGCCTGTCGCTGTTGGTAGGTAATATCAAGGGATCGAGGATCGGACTCGTACAGTACGGACGCTCCACGTGAAGGCTAGTACCGGACACGACGGCACGAGATGCCCAATGACGGATGACGGATTCGGCGTCTGAAATGAAGATGCCTGATAAGCTTTTGGAGCTCTTGCGATACGATTATGTGCCTTGGGCGATGTGACAGAGTGTCAAGAAGGCTGAGCAAAGGGAGGAGGTTGGCATGCCTCAGCCAGCAAGACTACAGAGGGAGGCGGCGGCAACGTCATTGGCCTGGCTACGTCAGCTGACTGCGGCGAGGCGGCTCAGCCTTGGTAGTGCAGTCAAAGACACCTCACCAGCTTTTGCTACCCTGCGGCCAGCCCAGCGCTCTCGGCAGTGGACACGTCGGCGACAGCATCCTCTCGGCGGCTGGTTGCGCTGAAAATAACGACTGATGCTGGTCTGTTCAATGAGGTTCGCGAACCTTATTTGCCTCTGTCCTGGAACATATTCTCCGGCGCTTCGCTACTTCGCTACATGACGGAAAATACGAGAACCTTAAACGTGCATGCATGCATGCATGGACAAACTGCAGACACACAAAGCGCAGCCGTTTTACCGCTGCCAAACGCTCGGCTGAACGTGTCTATCCAAGCTCCTTCCAACTCACGCCTTGGCAGACATGGAAAAGGGGCATTTTCGCTCTGCGACCCTGCTCACGCGCTGTCCCAGCTCGGCCGCCTCGTCGGCGCCTTTGCCCATCTTGCTCAGCGGCCCCAAGTCTGCCCAGAGGAAGCCTTCGGGCTTCATCTCGGGCTTGTCGCCGGGCACGATGCCGCCGTACGCCCTCGTCGCCAGCGCCACGGGGCCCCAGCGAGCCGACCAGGTGGCGGGCGTGTACCAGGGCTCCTTGAGGTAGCGGGTGTGCGCCATCCGACCCGTCTTGGGGTCGGGGGAGTTGGACAGGTAGTTTATGGGATTGCGCCGCGGCAGCGCGAGGAACCGTAGGAAGAGCTTGCGCAGGAGCAGCAGGGAGTAGGCGAATGCCGTGACGGCGACGCCAGGTTCAGGAAGCCTGTGTGGTTTGGCGTCAGCTAAGGAACATGCCTCTTCTCATGAGCTTGCGGATTCTGGAGAACGACAAACCTGAAGGCGTATCGCAGCTTCTCCCCCAAAAGGACCAACACGAGCTGGTAGCCGAGCGGCCGGGCCATCTGGGGATACGCGGACAGCAGCAAGTCGATGAGCACCTCGCCCAGGCGCTCTACCTCGGGGCTGGGCCGGACATGCACCTCCTCGTACTTGCAAGCCCACCGCGTGACGTCGTCCCGGAACTCGAGGGCGTCGACCCAGCGGTCCTTGCCCAGCACCGCGGCGTAGTCAATCTCCATCATGTCGCCGACGTACTTCCACAGCGTGCACTGCGCGGCCTCCTCCATCTCGGACATGGCGCGCCACTCGAACAGCCGGAAGAACCTGATGGGCTCGACCATGGCCGTGTAGAGCACGTAGACGAGGTCCTCGTTGGTGATCCTGCCGGACTTGATGTACGGCGCGTGGAGGTAGTTCATGCGCGCGACGGCCTGGTGCAGCAGTGGGGAGTTGGGATGGAACTGCGCGAAGCTGGGATGCGTGTTTCAGTAAGTTTTGCGCGTACGTACGACTGCGTGCGAGGCGACTGTCACTTACGCGACAAAGATGATCTCGGTATCTTCGTATCTGAAGGGCTTCGTTAACCTTTCTGCCTCGTAGATCTGTGCTGCTGCGCAAGTGCCGAATAATCTCACCTCTTTGGGGCCTGGTCGGGTCGAGCTAGATCGCTTACGGCCACCAAAAGACCAGCGATGCTATCGACGGCATATGTCTTTTGACGCTGTCAGACGTGACACAAACAAACCAACGATGTGTGAGGTGCCGAAATCATCCTCATCCTCACCTTGAAGAGGGCATATCGCAGACCGAGGTCGAAGAAGAGCGGACACTCCCACGAGCTCATGGTATGAACGATGGCTTGAGCGTCTTCGTTTGTCATGCGCGAGAACGACTCGCGATCCGGGTACTTGAAGCGCGCATGCACGTCCTTGAAGCGGCGGAAGCGCAGAAACGAGCAGGCCGTTGCGTAGGCGACCAAGGTGAGGGCCAGGGCCATCGACCATGAGACCTGGTACACAGGGCTGTCGTAGCGGTTGTTGACGGCCGCCTGTGTCGTCATGTTGGACGACATGGTGACACAGCGCAGACCAGACCCAGAACAGAACACACACCGCAGGAGGAGCACACGAAATAAGTCGACGAACAGAGCTTGATGACCACGGAAATGGCACTCGGCGATTCAGTCACGATGCCCTTTTTTCTGGTGGTTCCCCTCACTTCTGCGTGGCCGAGGTTGCAGCCCACGGAGCAGGGACCAGCCGCTTTTGTCCCGATCTGTCAATGGCGCGCGGGACGGCTTGTTAGCTGAGCGGTGCCATGCGCTGGGTTGGCTCAAAGGAAGGAAGGCGGGCGGTGCCAAGATTTGCTGCACAATTCTGGTCGCTGATCCTGCCTACATGAGCGTTTCGTGCCGACTTGTGTGTTTCTCTGGGCGCTATGTGACAGTAGGAGATGCGTGGATGAGGTCGTCGTGTCGCGCCGGGTCGCGATGAGAATCAGCTTCCAAGGCCACAAGCTGCAGTGTTGACGAAGGATCCGATGCAATCAGGCAGATATTTAATGCGAGGAGGACGCATTCTCTGCCTGCGGGCACGAATGCCTGTTGGCTGTGCCGTCCGGTTCAGCCTGTCTCAGCTCGTTGAGTCTCACACGGGCACACTCATCCTGTCCGCTGGCGGTGACAAGACCGCCCGTGTACGAAGAACATACTTGCAGTTGCAAATAAATGAATTGAGCCTGTGACGTAAACTTCGTGTAAGCCATAGTGGCCAGGTATTTACCCGCATCACACGTCAATCGCAGGCCGGCAATTCCAAGTCTGAGCTCAGCACGGAACAAAAACACCAAGACTGCCAGGTGGGAGTATTCCAGCGAGGTGAACCACCTGTGGGAAGACGCGGCGCGGCACAGCTGGCATGGCGGCCGGCCCCACTGTGATGAGGCACCGGCGCGCTGTAATACAAGGTAGCATGCCCAACAGCACTGAGGTGCACGTGCCGTTATCCAGTGCGGTGGGCGCTGTGCAGGGTGCCGCAGTGGCTTGCGTCTCGCTGTAACACCCCGCGCCACCTCAAGTCGCCGGCGCCGGTAAATCATCGGGCAAATCCCTCCGAGACCCTGTGCTACGCTGCAGGGAACCTGGAAGCCAACAACACCAGCTCCCGATCCTCGCTCACCAGCGCATGTCCATCACCCTTGCGCGGGCATCAATTATCTGCTAGCTGCGCCGAACCGCAGCACCAGACATCTCACAATGGTCGGCAAGGTGTCAGAGAGGGTCCTCCTCCGTGAAGGTAGCCCACCTCGCTCTCCTGCGGGCTCCGAGCCGCATTGCGCTGACACTCCCACCTCACCAGGGCTTGAGAGGACTGACAATGGCATGAAGCTCACGACATGGCCGGATGTCACGCCGATCAACCAGAAGAACTACTATACGTAAGTTGCCCTGCACTCACCGGGACTGCGACAATGCGCAGCTGCTGACGTGCCCAACAGAGATTACATGAAGCGCGATGACCAGATCCTCGCCCTCCGCCTCCAAAACGACGCCACACGCGACCGCCTCGTCCAGAACGCGAGAGACCGCGATCGGATCCTGTCGAAGCCCGCTAATGGCGAGCTGCCCCTGCCCGTTCCCGACCTCGCCGAGGAAGACGGCGCCGCGACCCCGTCCGGCGGCGTCGACCCGTCCCGCATCATCGTCATCCACCCCGGCAGCCAGAACCTCCGCATCGGCTTCGCGAGCGACGCCCTGCCCAAGACGATCCCGACGACACTCGCCACGAAATTCCCCCAGACCGAGTCCGAGATGTACGAAGCGCTGCCCCGCCGACAGTTCGAAGCCAAGACCGCCGACCAGCAGTATGGCGAGGAGTGGTCCAAAAAGTACCAGAAGATGTGCAGCGAACTCAAGGTCGAAATGCGGGCCAACAAGCGCAAGGTGCTCCCAAACTCCAAGGAGTTGGTCCAGACCTTTAATCGCCGCACCGAAGCCGAAGTCATCGAGAAGCACAACGACCCCCTCGAGATTGAGTGGACCGACGTCAAGACGCTCGAGGACCCCGACTCCCTCGCCTCTTGTTTCATCGGAAACGAAGCTCTCCGGGTTCCCGACGACTCGGACCCCAAGTTCAAGCTGTGGTGGCCGATACGCCAAGGGTGGTGGAACGAGGACGACTACACGAGCCAGGAGCATCTGTACGACGACTTCGAGACGCTGTTAGACAAGGCACTTCGCCAGGAGCTCGGCCTGAAGACCAACAGCGAGTGGCAGCAGTACAGCTGCGTTTTCGTCATCCCGGATCTCTATGACAAGCGCTATGTCGAGCAGGTATTGCGGTCCTGCATGACCTGGTTCGAGTTCAACCGCGTCTGTTTTGTCCAGGAGAGTCTGGCTGCCACCTTTGGCGCCGGCTACACCCAGGCCTGCGTCGTTGATGTCGGAGCGCAAAAGACGTCGGTGACGTGTGTGGAAGACGGCCTCATCCTGGAGGACTCGAGGATCAACCTCAAGTACGGAGGTTACGATATGACCGAAACCTTTGTCAAAATGTTGCTCTTCGACAACTTCCCGTATCAGGAGATCAACCTGCAGCGCCGCTACGACTTCCTGCTCGCCGAGGAGCTCAAGATAAAGCACTGCACCATGTCGCAGGCAGACATATCGGTTCAGCTATTCCAGTTCCACGTCCGAGCTCCAAACCAGCCTACCCGCAAATTTGCCTTCAAGACTTACGACGAAGTCATTCTTGCCCCTATGGGTGTCTTTGAGCCCTCCATATTCGACAACAGCACGAAGCTGAGAGGCCGACGGAAGCTGGTCGAGCGCTCCTACAATGCCTACGACGTGGACATCCCGGACGATCCGACCCCTGCGGCCCAGTTGGCTATCTTGGCCCTTGTCAAGCCGTCACTCACGCCAACCGCCATCAACGGGCCCTCGCAGTCGCAACAGGACGTATCGACGCCTAGTAAGGAAAGGCCTCAGTTCAACTTCCTCGCCAAAGGGGACGGCGCCACTGCAACCCCGGCGGAGTCGCACGCTGGTTCGCCGGCACCGGAGGGCAGCAGTACGCCTGTTCCCCCAACGTTTGTCTTTGGAGCTGGCAGGGATGGAGTCAATGGCGAGAGCCCGGCTCCCAGCGGAACGCGGGCTGCCGGGACGCCCGTCCCATCGCAGTCCCAAGCTCCGCCGGGCATGTTTGTCGACTCGCAAGAGCGCAGCCCCACCTCCGTCGCTGTAGAGCGCGACTCTGTCCTCCCCGTGGCGCCGCTGGACATTGCGATCCTGACCAGCATTCAAAACGCCGCTAAGGGCGACGACAAGAAGCTGCGGGACTTCCTCGGCAGCATCATGGTGATTGGCGGAGGATCCAAGGTTCCCCAATTCACCGTGGTGCTGGAGGAGAAGCTCAAGGCCCGAAGGCCCGACCTGATCGACAGAATCCTGGTGAGCCGGAGCGCCAGGGACATGGACGAGCAGGTGGTATCGTGGAAGGGAGCGAGCGTTTTCGCAAAGCTTTCAACGAACGACTCGTGGATCTCGCCGTTCGAGTACGAGCGGCTGGGCGCGAGAACTCTGCACCACAAGGTGCTCTGGGCTTGGTAGAGCCGCAGAACTGACAGAAAGAGGCTTATAATTACGGGAGTTTATGGGGGGCTACAGGCGCAATGGAAAAAGGGTTATCACACGAGGCATGTTCGAAGTAGAGCCACTGTCGTGCACACGTGGACACAGCACGACCGGGACCACGGGAGTTTCGAGAGAATAGAGGAATTTTTAACTTTGCACCATCTGCAAATGCTGTGACTGAGCTTCTCTAACACTGCAGTCCTTCGTCTCCTGAGATGATGACGTTCCAGTTATCCTTGTTGAAGATTTGGGCCGATCCCACTCTATAGCACAACTCGTGCTTCAGGACAATGCAAATACCATCTGCGATCCAGTCAAAGCTGCCCAGCTCCTTGGGGTGAGGCTCCTGCAAAGTCGGTCAACATCTGATCGAAGGGGAAGCTCAGAAATCCACGACGAGGAGAAACTTACATCGTTGCACCACCAGACGCCGATATTGTTCTCGCAACTCACACGGCCGCAGTTGCCGGGGCCCGCGCCATTCTTGGGCTTTCCAGGCCAGCCCCAGAGGTGCACCTCGGCATGCCAGAGCGTGTCATGCCAGTCAATGCCGGCGTCCTTCCAACGGCCGCAGTGAACGTCGTCGCCGAATTTGAAGGCGCCGTTCTTCCGGCATTCGGGGTAGTCCGCGATGATTCTGCGGTCCAGCTTGTGGCCGACCTCGGTTTCCCACCTTGGGTTGAGCTCGAGAAGCTGGGCCTTGACCTCTTGGATGGTGCCGTTGAGGATGGCCGTCTCGCCCGGTGTGACTTCTATTTCCCATGATGGGATGAACGAGGTGTACTTGCCACCGCTGGGAGCGATGAGTGTGCCATATTCGTCGATCTTGGGGCCGAGACCGAATGCCTAGCGAAGGAAAGGGTGTTAGAGAGTGAACTTGTTGGCAAGGACATGGAAGTGTGCACATACCCCCAGGAAAAAGGCGCCGAGCACGTTGAACACTACGGCAGACTTCATCGCAACACTTTGGCTTATGGAGCTTCCAGAAGCTTGGGAAAAGCTTGTATACCAATCTGGCACTGCGGGAACACCACATCTTCTACTTGCAAAACTCACGCAGATTCATATAGTTGCACGCACCGGAACAGACGGCAATCGCTGCCTGCCCTTTGTGGGGGAAGGAAATTCGGTGACCCGGTAGCTGGGTTCCAGGGCTGGTCCGTGAGCATCACACGATACAAGCCGACCAGCAAACCATAACGAAATCGCGGGGTGTTTGCACCCCGCGCGGTCCATCTCTAAACTGGAATTGTTTCAGCAGCTCGGCAGAGATCGGGCGAGGTCCTTTGTTTGCAGAGCAGGTGGTCGGATCGCCACGATCGTGGCATGGAAAAAGGCTGCAAATGGTCCATGACCGAGCGGATGCACGCCCCCTTCTAGACGCCGCAGCCCCAGCCGCCATGATCAAATCGTGGCATGGCGGGAGGCTGGGTGTTATCCACGACCGAGGGCGCGCATAAGCGCGTTCGAGAAAACGTGGGAAGGAGAGGAGAGGGAGTTCCTTCATTATTGTTCTGGAAGGTCGCGACAGCGCCACGGAGAGAGCGCCACAGTGTGTAAGTGGTTGCCATTGACGACATGATGTCACTCGTCGGGAGGCGTTGACTGTCGACCGCGTCCCCGTGCTGTGAAAATGGCAATTTTCGCGGCAAGCAATCGCGCGCCCAGAGAATCCGCCATGGAACATGGAAGACGACGCGAATCCAGCCAATATTCTTGGCAAATCCGCAGGCACGGAAACAAATAAAACCAAAGAATGAAATCATGACGTGACGATCCGGTGACCATTTTCGTGGGCTTACCTAATGGTCGTAACGAACTAATTCCGCCCGCCCAAACAACAGTCGGGCGCGTCACCCCCCTTTGCGAGTTCCTCCCAAACCAGAGGAATACTCGTGGACGGCGTTTCCCTCGCCATGTGATTCTGTTGCTGCCTCGCCAGGAGAGGTCTTTTTCTTAATTCCGTGGTCGCCAGCCCATCATGCCATCGATATCCAAGTTTCTGCCGTTTGCGCCCTCGACGACGACGACGCAGGCGGTCACGTACCTGCTCGGCATCTCGCTCTTCTCCATCTCCTTCCTCGTCTTCCTCAACAGCTCCGTCTCCTTCGTCATCACCGACCTGATCGGCCAGAAGAAGGGCGTCGGCGATGTCGTGGGCACGCTGGGCTTCGCGGACGAGCTCGTCGCCCTGGTAGCCTGCCCGGCATGGGGGCTCGTGTCGGACCGCCTGGGCGTGCGATGGGTCGCCGTCATCGGCTACACCATCATCGGCGTTGCGCTGGCCGTCTTCGTCCAGGCCAAGAACGTGTATCCCCAATTGCTGCTCGCGCGCATCTTTTTCGCCCTGGGGGCGTCGGCGGCGTAAGTGGACACTGAATCTCGGAGTTATGCGCGGAGCCGAGGCAAGGCTGACCGTGTTGATAATGCGCAGAGCCACAATGGTGACGGCCATTCTGCCCTCCCTGACCGACGAAGCGGACGACTTGTCGAGCACGGCGGCACTGGCCCGGGCCAAGCTGAATCCGCGGCTCAGCGCCGCCTTCTCGGTGGAGTCCGAGGTCACCATAACGCCCGAGCGATACACGAGGACCCTGTCAAGCGAACGACTCCAAGGCGCAAATGGGAAGGATGCCGCCGCCAAGGCGGGCAAGCCGTCGGCGCTCGCCGGCTTCGTGGGCCTGTTCACGGGCTGCGGCGCCCTGGTAGCCCTGTCCCTGTTCTTGCCGCTGCCCGCCCGCTTCGGCGAGATTGACGGCGTGACTCCCGGTGAGGCCGTCTCGTACAGCTTCTACGTCGTCGGCGCCGTGTCTTTGGCTGTCGCCGTTTTCGTCTTTATTGGCCTGCGCAATTTGCAGGGCGAGGAAGGCAAGGGATGGAAGGTGCTGTTGGGCATCAAGGACCGGGGAGATGCCTTTGAGAGGCTCGAAATGGACCGTCATCAGGAATCGAGCAAACAGGTACGATCGGCAAGCAGATGGGATTGAAGTCTATACTAACTTTAGTGACAGCGAGTTATTCCGTATCTTCATCTTATGAAGGACTCGGTGCTGCTTGGCTTCACTGACTCGCGCATTGCTCTCGGCTACATCGGGGGCTTCGTTGCGAGGGCGTCCACCGTTGCCATCTCACTCTTCATCCCACTCTTCGTCAACACATACTTTATTAGCAATGGCTATTGCCAGGGATCGCCAAACGACCCGTCGCCCGAGCTCAAGAAAGAGTGTCGGGCGGCATACGTCCTTTCATCCATTTTGACTGGCGTCGCGCAGCTCATGGGCCTGCTGTGCGCGCCGCTCTTTGGGTACCTCTCTGGTCGAACCGGCCGGGTCAACTACCCCATCGTTGTGGCGACCGTGTTTGGCATGATTGGCTATCTGATCCTGCCGCACCTCTCCAGCCCGGAGATTAAGAACGTGGAGGGCAGAGGGGGGACGCCAGCCATCTTCGTCGTCGTCGCGCTGATTGGCATCAGCCAGATCGGCGCCATAGTATGCAGCCTTGGATCGCTCGGGCAGGGCGTCCTGGCTGCCGAGCTGCCGAGGCAAATCCGGCGCGAGCCGTCGCTGGCCCCGGAGGAGGACGAGTCGGCCGAGTCGGAGCCGCTGATCCGGCTGTCCACGGCGGGGGACTCGGCGTCGAGGGTGCGCCTCAAGGGATCCATCGCGGGCGTGTACTCGCTATGCGGCGGCGCGGCGATTCTGATTCTCACAAAACTCGGGGGCTTCCTGTTCGACAGGGTGTCGACGGGGGCTCCGTTCTACATGATGGCGGCTTTCAACGGCGTGCTGCTGGTGGCGAGCCTGTTCATGGACGCCGCGCAGACGTTTGCGAGGGTGTGATGATACGATGCGAGCGAGAGATTGCGATAGCTCTTACGATGTCACGAACATGAATACAGCCTCTTGTTCCTTTTCACGGCCGGCGCCGGAGGCTCATGATGAAGCACGCGAGCGCCCTGTGCCGTATCTGGCAATTGTTGTTGCCGGCTGCCAATCGGAGCTGCGCCGACTAGTGGAGCATTCGAGCATGTCCAGTGGGCTTGGTGGGTGTCAGGCACTGGTAGGCACTGGCAGCGGCGCCACCGCCCAGCCTTCACTGACGATGTCGTGCTTTAGTGCTTCAGGACCTGCGCCCTCGGCGTGTCGGGGCCTTGGCTGCCGGCATCGCGAGATGCCATTACGAGGCCGCAGGTTTAAGAAACCGGTTTTCTAGGGCAAGTAGCCCCTAAGGCGCACCTCCCTCGCCTCGAACGGGCCCTTCGGTACAGGTCCGTCGGTTCGCGTACATGTACATGCAGAGTATATCGCCTGGCTTACTTCTCCCATTGGTCCAAGCGGGCGGCAGGCACACTCAACGCGCTGAGGCGAGGGAAGGAGCCCGCCAGCATCGATGCCACATTTACAACACAATGCCTTCTTTCTGCCGCCATTGCAGTGATTGCGCCATCGCCGACCTACCACTCGACCCTGACGGGAGGGGGATGCATTCAACTCGACTCGACTCGATGCCCAGTCTCCCTTCCTCTTATGGAGCGAGACGCAGTCACGGCATGCATGGCTTCCGGCGACATTCCCAGTCGATGCCCGACGCGTTGGCCTTGCTACCGTACTGTCAAGGCCAAGGCCAAGGCCCAAGAACAAGACAACGGGTAGGCAGGAGTCTACGGGCCCGAGACGTCGCCGTGTGTCTCATCCGCGCTCAACTCGCACCCGTGCGGAGCCAGAGCGCTTTAAGTTTGTCCTCCTGCAGCGGCCTTCGTGCCCCTGGTGCAACGTCTTTACGATCGGCGTGGACAAAGGAGCGCCAGCGATGGCTCGCCAAACGAATGCGAGCGAGGCTGCCGACTCTCAAAGACACACAGTTGCATTTTGTCGGAGCCGACCGTATCCAATATTTGCCGCCGCCACGAGAAAGTCAATGAGGTTGAATCCGAGTGAGGGGTCCCGGACGCAGTGGCGTTCTGCAACAGTCAGTCAACCAAACAATCCCGGAGGCCAAGGCCGTCGGCTGCGGTCCGGCCAACAGACGGGCCGCCGGTAGGATCTGTCAATAGCTGCCGCTTATCCATGCAGAGCAGGAGCAATGTGTCGCGGTGCATGGCCATGTTACATGGAGGGCGGTACGAGCAAGGGCGCGCGACTGGACGGCGGCCCAAATACGAGGTCGGTCGACGTCAGAATTACGCTGTGAGACGGGCAACCAGCGCATGCGAACATGTACGCCGCCTAAATGCATGCGCTTGCGCAGACGGGCCTTCCCACGGTATGTGTCGACATGCATGAGCTGCGTCGTCCAGATGGGCTTGCTGACATCTGGGCTTGAGGTGCAGGACGCGGCTTGGCCTACCGGCAGACCAAGTCGCCCGGGCTTTTCTTGACTGACCACTCAGGCGTCATAGACCCTTGCATTGCAGTTTAAACTACAGCTAGGCCGTTCATCTCGTCGGCTGGCGAGGACGGATTGAGTTCGGTAGCGGCCGACGACATATGGTTGCCCCAGCCACGCGCCTGCGTGCTCCACCATCGTGAACACGGGAGCATCAGCAACACGGCTCAGACACCGTATGCACCGAGCAATAAACCGGGTGACGAGATAGGCGTGCAGAGAGACAGTCAGCTGCGGCGACGGCGCTGTCGCAGGCGAGCGGCTTGGGACGGACGACCGGCGGGGCTTGTGCGACTCCATCCCGGCACGACCTTTGACCACGGCACGCCAGAGGCACACGAGCTCCTCCCCTGAAGCCGGCACTGGTTGCGGAGCAGTCGGAACATTGACTGCCGCCTCTCCGTGGTTGGCCACTTCCTGTGCGCCGGCATCGTGGCTGCCGGCGTGTGTATCAAGCAGGCTGCCGGGCCGCCCAGTCGGCCTGTCGACTCTACGACGACGGGACTGCGCCTCTGCAAAAGCACACATGACCTGAGACGCAGAGCGAGAATAGGAAATGCAAGCGATCGCCCGAGATCTGACGCCAGCGACCCCTGACTGCCACTCCCAGCCACGACCGCGAGGGAAGCCGCTGCACGGCAGGCAGCCACTTATGGGGTGACAAACTTTGATCGAGCACTGCAGTAGCTGGGCATCGGTACTGCATTCTCCTGCCGTGGCACCGTTGGAAAAAATCACTCGGCCGTCTCCCAGAAGCGGGATCGAGCATGCCCTGGAACACGTGGCCCCTGTTCCTCTCGTCGGCCAACACTCGTCTCGGCAGGTTGGTGATTGTCGAGTGGCAGGTTTGCCATGTCGCGCCACCTTGCAACTAGCTATCAGACTAAGGGCGAGGGCGAGGGCGGTTGGGGGACAAACTTGACGCCTGCAGCAGCCATGGTCTCCTACCCAACCACTCGCAAGGCCGCCGTTCATTGCGGATACGGAGGCTGGCTCAGTTCACGAGAGCCGCGGATAGGAGGTGAAAGCTAAGATCGACGCTGTTGCTTCGTATTGCAGCCCGAACCAAGTCGATGGAGGCCCTTGCAGAGATGGCAAGCATCCGTGACATCCGTTACTGCCTATTCTGGAGCCGGAGAAACATTGGCGGGCTGGATGCGGAGGAAGCTAGGGTCACCATCAACTTGTTCCACCGCCCATTGTTACGTCAGTGCGATATATCACAAACAACAGGACTTAACACATGCAAAGAAGGCCGAGGGAGACCGTCAGGCGGCTCAAGGGCAGTGTTCTTTGGGCTTCCCGCATGATGGCACGCCGGTCTCTCCGCGGGACGGTATAAGTCCGTCCAACCTCCCGGATCCCAAAGTCTGTTTACGCTGTGTGCTCCCGGCCATCACGTCCAGCCTCGTCTTTCGCTCACGCCTTCTCACCAACCCCGTGATTATAGTCGGGCACTCCGTTGCTGCATTCGTTTGCAACTACTTATTGCCCTCGCCTCTCACGTTGGGAGATTCACCCCGTAGCCATTCCCAGTACCCAGCCTTGCCTGCCTCTCCTCTGCCCGACGCTCTCTGGCTGGAGAATTTCTGCACGCGCAAGGTGTGAAATATCGACCTCAACATGCTCTTCAGCCTCCTGCTGTCGGCCTTGGTGGCCACGGCCCTGGGGGGTCAAGTCAAACCTCGTTGGGGGAAGCCCACGGAGCCAGTCACTTATACGACAACCACCGTCTGTCCCGTGACGTCGACTGTCACGACAAGGGGAACGTAAGTCTCCATTACCGTTTTGTCCCTGCTTGGGAAGACCTCCGCGCTGACCGTGCACTAGAACCTACTGCGTCACCTCGCTCACGACCTCCACTATAACCGTCACCGACTGCAATGGCTGCTCTGGCGGCGTCACCACTGTCCCTGGACCTCCCGTCACCAAAGGCACCACCACGTTCGTTGAGATTACTTACACGACCGTCTGTCCTGTTACCGAGACCATCACCGGCCCGGGCCACACGACGGTGAAGACGCGGACTGCCACCAGCACCATCGTGACCCATGTCCCCACAACCATCGTCAAGAGCATTCCCGGGCCAACAAAGACTCGCACGAAAACAGATGTCGTCTTCACCACCTTCACCAGCCTCTGCCCTGTGACTGAAACGACTACAATCTCCGGCAAGAAGCAGACGATCACGTTCACCAAGACTAGCGTCATCGAGACAATCGTCCCGACGACTGTCCAGGAGACGGTCCGGCAGCCCAACCGCACGAAGACGGCCACTGAGGTACAATTCTCGACCATAACAAGCCTGTGCCCCGTCACGGAGACGAGAACCATCTCAGGGACCAAGGTCACGGTCACTTTCACGACCACGAAGCTAATTACGACGGCGATACAAACCACTGTCCCTGAAACGGTCACGAAGCCGGGCCGCACAGTGACAGCCACAGATGTGGAGTTTTCGACCATCACCACCGTCTGCCCCGTCACTGAGGTCACCACCATCTCGGGCACCAGAGTGACTAGGACGTTCAGCACGACAAAGACAATCCAGACGGCGGTGCAAACGACCATCCACGAGACGGTCAGGCAACCGGACACTACGGCCACGGCAACGGATGTCTCCCTTACGACCATCACGAGCCTGTGCCCCGTCACCCGCGTCACCACCATCGGCGGCAAGGAGCGGACCATCACCTTTACCACCACCAAGCTCATCGAGACCAACATCCCCACCACGGTCCAGAAGACGGTTGAGCGCCCGGACGTGACCGCCACGGCCACAGAGGAAGAGCTCCAGACGGTGACGAATATCCAGCCCGTCACCGAGGTCATCACCGTCGGCGGCGAGAGGAAGACCATCGTCCACACGACCACAAAGGTCATCGAGGTGTCCAAGCCCAAGACGGTATTCCAGACCGTCACGGAGCCAGGAACCACCGAAAAGTCCCTCGAGGTGGTGTTTGTCACGGAGACGCGCGAGTTCCCCGTCACCAAGACCATTGTGATTCCCGGCGGCAAGGTCACCGAGATCATCCAGACGACAAGGACCGAGGTCGTCAGCACCCCGGCTACCTTTACCGTCACCCAGTCGGCCCCACCGGTCACCACCACGGCGACGCAGGTGCCCACCGCCGGCGCGCAGACAAACAACGTCCCTGCCGCGGCCGTGTTTGCCGGCGTGGCGGGCTTCATGGCCCTTCTCTAGAAAGAACAGACGCAGCCCTCTCGGGAGCTTGGTGGTATACGGGGTTGATATTTGCATGTGGACGTTCCTTTTTTCATGTTTCTCAAAGTATGTTTCTTGGCGGCTATCTTTTACAATGAGACGGACGTGTCTCATTTAATTAGCTTGTGCTCGTCTGCGAGACGAGCGTGGGGCGGAGCGGAAGCGGCACGACGCAAAACGGGCAAAGACTGACTCGGCGGAGATGGAGGAGGAGGGGGCGCACGTTTTGTTGGACTGGACCGAGCAGAGTATACGAGGGTGTGCGCGGTTGGGTGATTGCGGATTCGGCGGACATTTTAAAAAACCAGTTTCGTGTACATAGACTTGGGCATTGGACCTCCCATGGAGGAGGGGTGGCTAGATGTGGACAGACGACAGTAATGAGATAGTCTTCCCTTGAACCTTGAACGTGCGACTCTGACGTCGACGTTGGAAAGTGGCAGATGCTTGGTCGCAATACTGATTTTCCGTCTGAAGCTCTACCGCTGGAGGACTGGACAGAAGTGTGTTTTATCCGCAAACCCTTGCTCCGAACGCCCTTGACATCATTGCTCAAACGACACCCCTCATCACCCCTGGCGTTGGCGCCATCACCTGTCGGCCACAAACCTCGCCGGATTCGGCTCCGTCGCCTCGTCGGCGCGGCCCGTAAACGTGCAGCCGGGAAAGTACCGTCCGCACTGGAGCAGGAACGACGAGTTGAGGTCGATCCAGACGATGATGCGGCGGAGCAGGCCGCCCAAGCCGAGGGCGTCGATGCCGCCGCGCAGCTCGACCATGCGGCGCAGGCCGCGCATGTGGGCGTGGTAGGTGGGCTCGTCGCCGTGCATGGCCTCGAAGCTGGCGAGCTTGGCGACGGCGCCGACGACCTCGTCGGAGAGGCAGCGGCGGGGGTCGCGCGTGGCGGCGTTGACGGACGTGATGGCCACGTGCTTCATGTGCAGGAGGTGCTGGCGGATGGCGGCGCGGGAGGGGAAGGTGGTTTGGTAGATGGTGATGGGGGCGTCGGTGTCATCGTCGCTGCCTATGCTGCCGCTGCCGCTGGTTGGTGGGGAGGAGGAGGAGGAGGAGGAGGAGGAGGAGGAGGAGGAGGAGGCAGATGAGCCAGAGGAGGAAGAGGAGGAGGAGGGAAAGGGGTAGCTGGCGGGATAGGCGTTGGAGACGTAGTTTGCCGCGCTGAGGAGCAGGATGACGGCGAAGATGGAGGGGTCTGACAGGACGAGGGGGAACCAGCGGCTGCGGAGCAGGCCCTTGTGGCCGGGCCCGTCGAGCTCTGAGATGTCGACGGCCATGTGGACGACGTCTGGAGGCACGCCTATCAGTAGGGGCTTCTATTAGGCGAGTCGTCACTTACAGTTGTCAGTCCACGCCGGGATGTTGGGGTGCCAGGGCCCCGGATAGGCTCTAAAGGGATCGACCCTGGTGCCGCCCAGCAATGGATCGACGAGCAGTGCCGACGCGGCAGTTGACCGGCCCCGCGGCAGCTGGATCAAGGAAGCGGCGGCAGCATCTTGCCCCCTGTCGACCCAATCGTCGACTTTGTCATCATCATAGGGAGGAGGGGGAGCAGCGGCGGCGGTGAGCTCATACGTGACAGAGACGGGTTTGCCGCCGCGTCGTCGCCGTCTGCGCCTGCGTTCCCTGGCTGCCGCGTCGGCCTCGGCCTTGCGGTCGACGACAATGGGCGACGATGAGGAGGAGGTGCTACTGGTGCCGTTGGGGAGCGCCGCCGTCGATGGCGGAGGAGGGGGACGGTGGACGGCCAGGTGGGCCTGCCAGCCGCGCTTGGAGACGTGGGAGCGCAGGCGGGAGGTGGCCAGGCCCTTGAGCTGGTCGGGGCGGTTGCCGACGACGAACTCAAAGGTCGCCGACGAGGAAGAGGATGCGGCTGGTGGTGGTGGTGGTGGTGCCATGAGCGGCGGCGGCGGCGACGGCGGAAGCAGCAGCAGGGTTTGACCGGACTGAAACCACGTGCAGCAAGCAGGGTGTGCGTCCCCTGGGGCCTTGGCGTCTCTCTGCGACGTCAGATTGTGAAGCTGCCGCGGCTTTTGCTCTTAGTGTGCGTTGGGCGTTGGATTGGACGGCGGACGTCGGTGGGATGGGGGGAATGGGGGATGGCGATGCGGGATGCAACGCGATGAGCGAGCCAGCGGGATCAACGACGACGACGGAACACCCCCTCTTTTCGCGTCACACACGGCCCGGGGCGTGTGCGCCAATTCATTCAACCCATGGTGGGACACGAGGAGCAAGGGTTCTCGATGCCGGTGCGGTGCGGTGCGTGCGGCTGGATATGGATGGGTGAGAGGCGAGAAGGAGGAGGAGGAGGATGTGGAAGAAGCAATTATGGGGGTTCGACAACGGGCGGGACACTCACACACACATCATTGCCATCGATGGACGTGTGGCGCGCGCGGCATGGTAGTTAAACGTGCTAACTAGATCGGGTGCATGCAAGCACGCAGTCCGTCCGTCTGCCGACGAAAGCTTGATGCCGAGCCGTCTCCACAGAGTCCACACCGTTGCGGCTTGATCGACTTGACGCCGTGTTAGTTGAACTTATATGGGGCGTCTTGGTGGCAGGAGGCTTTTCGTGCTTGGGCGATGCCTCTGGTGCCGCTTTTATCCTCTACTTCGAACCATCTCGTGTGTGATGTTCAAGTCTGGTTCGACATATCTGGTCGTATTTACAAGCCAACACAAATAACGCTCTATATTCTATACTCTATACTCGATAGCCGCCCAGTCGCCTCCCCTCTGTCACCTGCCATCCTCCTCCTCCTCCACGACGTCCAGCCCCAGCCTGCTCCAGCGCCGCAGCCTCTCCCCCCAGCACCACAGCAGCAGCGGGCTCAGCACCGCCAGCCCCAGCGTCGCAAACGCCAGCAGGCTGTTGCCCCAGCCGAGCCCGAGCGCGTCGTACATGGCGGGCGCGAAGAGCGGGAAGCCGAAGCCGCACATGGTGCGCAGGAAGGCCCCCACGGCCGCCGCGCTGGCCGCGTACCGCGCGCTGTACGCGTCCACGACGTACGCCTGCGCGCTCTGGAACGCCACGATGAGGCCCGTCGCGAGCAGCGCGCAGCCCACGTTGGGCACGATCCAGTGGAGGCGCGCCTGCGCCGTCCACCCGTAGAGGAAGAGGCCTGCTGGCGCGAGGACGCTGCCCACGGCCATGGGCGGGACGCGCCACTCCGGGCATCCTTCTTTCCGTCCGTACTTGACCTTGTAGTAGGCGTATAGCTGCAAATCAAGAGATTAGTCGCTGGTGGTCATGTCTGAAATGACGGGCCCGGGTCGAGATAGCTCACCTTGTCGATGAGGGGGTGCGAGATCTGGAGCCCAATCATGAATCCGACCCCGAGCGAGAGGTAGTTGAGACTGGCCGTGCCCTTGTCCATACCATATGCTCCGCTCCAGACTCTGGGAAACGTCGAAAGGCTGCCCAGCGTAAGCGAGGTCCACGCAACAGATCCATACCCAGAGCCACTTACACCAGATACATGACGCCGTAGAGGTACGCCCTGTAAATCGACGGCGCCAGCACCGCAGGATGAGACACGATCATAATCAGCGGCAGCACGAGCCGCCTGCGCAGGATCCTCGCCATGCCGCGCTCGTCGTCGTACGCCGTCCTGTACGCCAGCCCCGTCTCCCGACGCAGCCGCTTCGCCTTTTGCGACAGGATGCGCGGCGCGTACGTCTCCTTGAGGAAAAAAAAGGCCGTGACCTGCACCAGGACGTCGAACATGGACGTCGCCCAGAAGATCCAGCGCCAGCTCGTGTGCAGGGACGTGTAGGCGCCGGCGATGGGCGCGACGACGGGGCCGAGGAACGTGAGCATGCCGTATATCGTCTGGCCCTTGCCCCTCTCCTCCTTGGACCAGCAGTCTGCCAGCACGCCGTTACATAGCTAAAGGGGACAAAACGCTCTTGTTAGCGCAAAGTCACAATATATACATTGATTATTGTAAGAGGGCCACCCACCGCCTGCGGAGCGCTGCCGCCGATGCCGCTAAGGAACCGAAACGCCAGCATCTGGTCCCGCGTGCGCGCGAATCCGCACGCCGTGTTGAAGGCGAGGTACACGAGGTTCGCCCACTGCAGGACGGCGACGCGGCCAAAGACCTCGGAGAGGGGCGCCAGGACGAAGGGCCCCTGCGCGTAGCCGAGGAGGAAGATGGACATGACGAGCGCCTGCATGAAGCCTGGGGCGACGCCGAGGTCGCGACCGATGTCGTCGAGCGCGGGGGCCACCATTGTGGACGAGAAGGGCGAGATGAAGGTGAAGCAGGACACGAGAATCGTCGTGGTCCATTTCTTCTGCCAGGTCCAGTTCATGGGGTTTGCGGGATCGGCGGGGCCGTCCCATGATACGACGGTGGGCTGTGGTGGTAGGTCGTCGGTGTACTCTGCAGGAGTGTCGGTCATCATCTTTTCGGCGTCGTCGTCCATGGTGTTGCTGCTGTTGCCGTGTGTCGTGAGCTCCATGTAGGTGCCGCGTGGGGGATCCATGGACATGAATGGGGCCACACGTATCTGAGACGACGTCGATCTGTCTGCAACAGAGTTGCCGTCGTCACCGAGGTAGAAAGATGATTACCCAAAAAAGATGCCAAAAGCAACACGCCTGGGGTTCATGCCAGGAACAACAGAACAGAATATGGGGCAGCACATCAAGGGCCACCCCCAGGTAATTTACGCATCGGCCGAGATAGGGCGCCCGGCGCGATCCGGCGGACCGGCTCGACCATGGAGACGCAGCACACGAGACACATTTCCCAACTGAATCAGCCTTGGGACACAAATGACGTCTGAAGAGTATCACGAACGAAAGCAACGCGCCGGTTACACGCACGCGCTGACGAGGCCGCCGGGCCCAAGGATCTTTCTTTTCAGCCCAACAGGGTTGCTCCTTGGCAGGCCGCATCACATCACAGTGTCGAGGACTGTGAAGCGAGTTTTTGAGTTCATCCCGAGGTCTCGTTGCATCGAGGCAGTGCCTGGCTGGGATGGCCGGAGCGCCAGCCTCTATTTTTGCCTCATGTTTCTGTGCGCTGGTGGTGAGTACAATAATTACACACCGCAAGCAAGCCAAGCCAAAACCAGGGCTGAGCCGGTCCAGTGAACGCAGCGGCGTCGAAGCTTGTTGGAACGTTTCCATGGGAAGGGGAAAGCCACAACGAAGCATCCTGGGCCAGGGATTACGTGTCGCGGACCCCCATTGCGCCACGATGCTGTGAGGGGGCCCCCAATGACGGGAATGGTCCCGCGGGCGTATCAGGGTCACAGACATCGGAGGGAGCCGATGGGAGGGCGATCAAGGGTGGTCGCGTGAGGGGCTACCGGATTCTGCGCGATCGACGCCCGATGAGCTTGTTGTTGCTCGACGCAGAGTTGGGAGGGTTGCGGCCTTGCGGGAGTGGCGGGCGGGTACGCGCCTAATTGGCAGCGCAACGGCTGCTTGCATGCCCGCATCTCTGAGGATGGGACGGGACGCGCGGTTTTCCCATCGTGTTGGGCGGAGGGTTGTGAGTAGTGAGTTGTGAGCTATTGTCGAGGAGGAGGGGCCTTTCGGCGGCAGCAGAGCCACAATGCGATGGCGGAGCAGATCAGCAACGACGAGGAACACGGACGGGGCAAGCAACACAAGAGAGGCTGGTGGCATGGCATGGTGGTTGTGGTGCCACAGCCCAACTGCAAACTGCCCGCACACGCCCACGCGTATGTCTGCAGATCGAGCCGATCCCAATGCCGGTGGTGGTGTAACACATAGTTACATGGCGTTCTATTTCTGGGCCGGCTTCGACACGCACTTACACGCCAACCGACGCCTTCTAGGGCTTGACCAAGACCAAGAGACGACGACGACGCCGGCGACAACGACGAATTATTGCGGAGATTTTGGCGGGGACCGACCAAGCAAGCCTTGGGCCAAGCTTTCTGGCCAAGCCCGCGGACAGCCTGACCGCTCTTGGCCACCCCTAGCAAACACGAGATGGCAGTCTTGGCCGGGCGGAGGCTGCGCTGAGTCTGACTGTGAGAATCTCCAGTTTCCAGTTCTCCAGTCTCCACGCTGCCACACGCAAACGCAAACGCTAGGAGACAAGGGGACATGAGCCCGCTGCGTTTGTGTCTGTGTTAGATGGCCACGCGGCGTGACAGCTCCAGGCTCAGGCACAAACAGGTACCAGAGTCCAGACGCAGGCACACGGTGGGCTGCCACCAGACAGGCACAGGCGGATGACGCATGTCTCTGTCCCCTGCGACTGCATTCCTTGGAGAGCAAAAGCAAAGCAAGCGGAACCCCCGTCCATCCCGTCATCATCCCCGTGCAACATGAAAGGGGGGGGGCCAGGGTTTCGTCATCGGTGCGACAGGCTTTGGAGGCGGAGCGGGCTCACTCGCTAAAGTTTACCTTGACGTGGTGTCTGTTATGTGCCTGCCCATGGTCCAAGCTGGCACGACCATGCGGTGAAATTTCAAAGAAGGCGTTGTCCGGTTCCGTGTTGACAAACGCGCACTGGTGGTTGAATTTCGCAATATAAAATGCCTCTGGGCTGTCGATCGTAGTCTGTACATGCCATATCCCGGTCCATCGCGTGAGGACCTGACGGTATATGAGCTCTCTAGACTGCCATCATAACTTACAACTCAGTCGTACTTATACCCTGACATGGCGCCACTGCGCATCCTCGTCGCCCCCTCCGGCTTCAAAGAGAGCCTGGGGCCCGAAGACGCCGCCGCCTGCATCGAGCAGGGCATCCGGCGCGTCGCCGGCCCCTCCGAGGCCTTTGTCTGCAAGATGCCCGTCCACGACGGCGGAGAGGGCTTCTGCCGCGCCGTCGTTTCAGCACACCGAGGCCGGCTCGTGCACGTCGACGTCACCGGCCCGGTCCGTCAGCCCGTCAAGTCCCACTACGGCATCATCGGAGGCACCACCGCCGTCCTGGACATGGCTGCCGCCGCTGGGCTGCGGCTCGTGCCCCGAAACGGCCGGGATCCTACCCGCACGACATCGTATGGCGTTGGGCAGCTTATGAAGTTGGCGCTGGATCAGGGGTGTAGCAAGATCATAGTCGGGTGTGGCGACTCTGGGACTACGGATGCGGGAGCGGGTATGCTGCAGGCACTCGGGGCGCGCCTCTTGGACAGGAAAGGGGTCGAGCTTCCGGTGGCGGCCGGAGGAGGCTCTCTTGTCGACTTAGACAGAATCTGTCTGGATGGAGTCCATCCCAGGCTACGCAGAGGCAAGTAAACCTTGTGCATCTTACATCACATCACTGACACAGCGCAAACAGGAGAGGTCGTCATCGAGGCCGTCTGCAATACCAGCAACCTTCTGTGCGGCGAGCGCGGCGTCGCCCGCGTCTACGGCCCGCAAAAGGGCGCCACACCCGCGCAGGTCGAACTACTCAGCCAAGCCATGGACTCCTTCTCCCGCGCCGCCTCCCTCTCCCTCGGGCGCGACATATCCCAGGCCCCCGGGTCCGGCGCCTCGGGCGGTCTCGGCGCCGGGCTGCTCGTGCTGGGCGCCTCCCTGCGCGGACGCACCGCAGCCATCGACGAGTACTTTGGCCTGGGGAAGATCCTCGCGCAGCCGTGGGACCTGGTCTTCACGGCGGAGGGGTCGCTGGATGCGCAGTCGGCGGCGGGAAAGATGACCAGCGAGGTGGCGCGGCGGGCGACCACGGCAACGCGAAAGCGGACAAGCGGCGGCGGCGGCAGGGCAAGGGGGGCGACGCAGGTGGTGGCCCTGGCGGGGAGCATCGGGGACGGGGCGGAGCGCGTGTACGGGACGGGCGTGTCGGCGTATGCGAGCATCTTGGACGGGCCGCTGACGCTCGAGGATGCCATGGCGAGGACGGGGGAGCTGCTGACGGGGGCGGCGGAGAGGACTATGCGCATGGTGCTGGTCGGGGCGGCGCTCGGGGCGAGGGCGGACACGGAGCGCGTCGCCACGGCGCCGATATGTCAGGTCGGGATGCCGTCGGCGGCGGCAGCGTCGACGACGTCGTCGGTTGTTGCTGTTACGCAGATGTCGGCGTAGTTGTGGAGGGAGGTGTAGCCGTTGATGGCGTGGGTCGATGTGCCACGGCATGTGTGTTGTACATTTGAATTTAGATTCTCACGATGGTATGGATGATGAGCATTAGATATTCAATGGTAAACCAACTGTCCTTCTGTCTCCTAAATGGCAGCTCTGAAGTAGTTTAGCCGAGGGTCACGACAGCCTCTCCTACGTTTCCCTTCGTGTAAGTCAGCGGTGCTCGAGTCGTCACTCGCTCTCTGATGTGTGGCGATGTGGCCACGGTCCGCAAGAGAGCCTAGAAAAGAGCGCCGACCAGCAATTTCTGTGACTTGGTTTCTTTCCCCGCCTTCACTGTAAACGTGGAGATCGACTGCAGGCCTGACAATGGCTCTGTCTGCGCGGCCACGATGACCTAGTACGAAAGTACGCCCACTTACATCAGACAACGGTCACCACAGAGCCGCGTGTGTGCAACACCCCTTGAAGTGTAAAATTTTTTCTTTTCCTCGCTGAAATCCTTTGTTATTGAATAAACGGCTGCATCCAATGAACCAGCACGGTGTCGGGGCAGAGTTGCACAAGGGGGACATGAACGTATGGTTGCCTGATGTTGGTGCGGGTCAAGGCCGGGCCCCTACATGTAGGAAGCAAACATGTGAATACAAGGATACTGTACTGTACGTTGGAAACGAAAACAGGCCCGGCGTGAGTACAGTATGATGTTAAACATCATGCAGCGGCATGTATATGTGGTTGTCCCTGACGGCAGCTTGTACTGTAGCTCCTTACCTGCATACATAGTGCGTCGGATCGCGGACATTTCGGTGACGGCAGGGAAGACAATTCGAACGGAGCAGGTTTCCGATGAGGACGGCGAGACGCACGGGCCATGCATAGATTAGTACATGCATGCATGCACGCATGCATGATCCGGACAGGAGAGCCGCGAGGGAGACCCCCATTTTCTCTGTCGGGGGCGCCCGCCATCAGATCGATCGTCTCCTCTCCGCCATCCCGTCCGTCTCTTCACGATCGCTGTTTTGCAATAGCACAATTATATACTACCCTGGACTTTTTGGCAAGAAGGCTAGAGCGTTGCCTTAACTGCAGTTTGACATCGTCTCTCCTCCGGCGGGGGAACACATCATTGCCATCAATCTTTGGCTGACGGATCTTGATCCAGAAGAGACTGGTAACTCTACCTATCCTGCATCGAGCCGTGCAGTCAATCTAGCATCACGCCAGAGCAGTTTGACTGCACGCGAGGCATGGCCCCAATCAACAACCCCGACTTCAACGTCGTGACCCCCGACACCTTTGCGTCCGCAGGCCGAAGCGCGCCGGCGTCGATGGCGACAACAGCAGCGGTGGGAGCGCCCACGCACACGCCGCAGCCGCCTCGCGTCCGCCGCAGCAGGCCCCGGCCGGGCGACCGGCGCAAGCGGGTGCTGGCCTTCCTCGACAAGATCCCGCAGGACGTCGACGACTGGGACGTCGAGATCCCCGAGGACGAGGAGCTGGACCGGATACGGGACCTGCTGACGCTGGCGCACATCGACGCGACGCGGCGCGCGACGATGCACTGGGAGGTGCTCCTGCTCGAGTGCACCGAGCACCTGCGGTCGGACGCGCTGCAGGCCGACAAGGGCCTCGCGGGCTTCTTCGTGCTCGCGTGCTGGCCGCCTGCGAGGTGTTCCTGACGAGCGACAGGGTGAGGCTGACGGCGGCCAAGGACGAGGTGAACAATGCGCTGCGGCTGTTCCTCCGCAGCAGGCCGTTTGTCTCGGAGCATGTCGAGCTGGGCGACGAGACGCTCAAGAAGTTTCGCTCCGGCTGCGTCATGGGCACGACGGTTCTGTCCATGCTGGCGAGGATCTGCCTCGGCAACCGCGCCTTTGTGATTCCTCTTCTGAGTGAGTGGCCGGCATTTTATAGTATATGAGGTTCCCGTTCCGAGGGAGGACACGCTCTGCAGCAGCTGATAAGCTAACCATGCGACGACGACGTCAACGAACCAGTCGATAACTGCCAGACCGTGTTCCAGTCCTTCGTCGCCGACAGCCAAGACTGCATCAGACACTGGGCCACCAACGCGCCGCTGAAGCTGCATCCGTATTCCGCGGTCCACCTGCAGAGGTTCTCTATTCCCTCGCTCGTGCACGAGCTGTTGGGGGGCTTCCACATGAACGTGAGGTATGAGAAAAGATGCCGTCATGCGGCCTACTGACTGACTGCCGCTGACAAGTCACGACGTGGGGGAGCAGCCCGTCCGAGATCCGCGAGGTCTTGGACATGGACGCCGGACCAGAGTCGCCCAGGGAGATATTTCCAATCTACCAGCTACCTCCCATGCGTATAACTGGCGAGGCTGTGAGCACTGAGCTGACGCGTGATGCATGTTAAACGCATACGGCATACTGTTCTCCTGTCCTCGTCGTTGGAACTGCCATGCCCGTTCGTGTAAGTCAAGTAACCAAGTCCCCAGCAGTTAGAACGGCGTGCCGCCACCTGGCTCGTGCAGCAGGCAAGGCCGGTGCGGCGGCGCGCACGAGCGATCGGCGCTCCCGGCCTCGGATTTCCCAAACGCCGGCCTCCCATAAATCCGTCCGTCCGTCCGTCCGTCCAGCAGCGCGGCGACAACAGGCGGCGGGCCCGTAGCAACAGCTCCGGGAAGCCCAAGCCCCGTTTTTGTGTGTTTTACGTCTTCCTTCTCTTCGGAAGAGCCACGCGGAGAGGCGTTTTCGCTAGGGCGGCGACGCATCCAGGGCGGCGGCGGAGTGTGGCGGCGGCGCCATGTGAAACATTTCCTAATCGGGGAAATGCATTTGGACATTTTAGCAGAAACTCTAAAGCGTCGAGAACTGACAGCACAGCTTCGGGCGCGTGGGCTTGACAGCTGCTTGCAGACGCTTTGACCTGTCGAGACCCCTCACCGGGGCGATCCCGGGGCCTTGCAGCGATGAGGTCGATGCCGTGTCATGCTGCAACGGCTTCAGAGCCAGCCGCCTCGGTGGAGAGGTGGCTGCGTCTTTGCCATGTCCGTCTGCTACGATGCCAATACTATATAAGGCGTCGTCGACACTGGCCGGACCCGACACACTCGGCATCTCAACTGCAGTTCT